GTCGTGGTGGTGGTGGCGGTGGTGGTCGTGGTGGTGATGGTGGTGGTGGTGGTGGTGGTGGTGGTGGTGGTGGCGGATGCGGGGGTGGTGGTGGTGGTGGTGTGGTGGTGGTGGTGGTGGCGGTGGCGGTAGTGGTTGCTTGATGTACAGTCGTGGCAGGGCCCCTCAGAGCTGTTGCACCACACGGAAGTGCTGGAGAATCAGTACCCCTCATCCCCCAGCGGCCATGAAGAGAATCGATGCCTGGTCCAGCTCGTGAAGTCGAACAGTGAAAAAAAGGTCGAAATAAGAAGTCATGGTACACCTCCTAACTTCAATATGCTTACAGCATAAGTATAAGGAAACCCTAGTAATAGTCATTAAGGCTATGGTCATCCCCACCAACTCGCACTTGCTCAAAACCTCAGCTTCGAGGAACCGGTTCTCAAGTTCCTGCATCCAAGGCCCCGAATTCTATGTTTGACTGAGTGCATTAACAGCTCACATACTACTAACAACAATGAGATAATGACTATCATAACCACCATAAACTAGATCCCGGAATAGTCTTAGTGTGCATGGCTGACTGATGATAATGACTGCCAACGGCTACAGGCTATTATGTGATACGTCATTATCATCTAGGCTTCTCCAGCCGTCACAAACCACCAGAAATCATCACTACGACTTGTTTAGCTTGAAATATTCAATCTGAATTAGTCAGTGAAGCTCTCTCTCCCAGTCTCTAAACTCTTCAATTCTGAACCTATCCGTCCTGCTGGCTGCCAATGCGAGGGATCGAGGAAGGTGCGGAGCTGGGAATGAGGCCCGGCACGAAAAGCAGGCTTCCTGACTAAGACAATTTATGATTACTACTGCTGCTACTATATACTACTACTACTACCACTACTACTACGACTACTACTACTTCTACTACTACTACAACTACTACTACTACTACTACTACTACTGCTACTACTACTACTACTACTACTACTACTACTACTGTACTAGTACTAGTACTACTACTACTACTACTACTACTACTACTACTATTCTTATTGCTATTCTCATTGCGATGATTACGACCCGTTCTCTTGTAATTAGCATTATTCTTATTGTCAATCTCTTTCTGCTTCTCAATATTATGACTCTTATTTGTAGGGCTAAGGGGTTTCAGGGTTTAGAGCCTTGCAGAACTGGAGTTGAAGGTTGGGGGTTTAGGGCTTAGGGTTTAGGGTTTAGGGTTTAGGGTTTAGGTTGGTGTCCGGTTTTTGGGCTTTGTTTGGCGATAACGGAGTTTTAGTGCGAAGGATTTGGGGTCTAAGCTCTACCCTTCAAGCCCCCCAACCGATTTCCAAGCTGCCAGAAACCTGACCTTTTCAACCTCTTCGATACCATCTCTCAACACACTCTAAATCCTAAAGCCCTGCAGTCTGCAGTCACTTCCAAAGCCGCAAAGCCCTGAATCGCTACGACCACCAAAAGCAGCTGTACGTCCCGTGAGCACCTGTGAGTGCGCAGCTGCCGACAACAGCCTGGGTCGACGTCTGGAGATTCGGAAAGCCGTGGGGTTTAGGGTTTAGGGTTTAGGGCTTTGGATTGATGGCTTCCAGGGTTTGTGACATGTAAGTAGCCTTGGGCTTAAAGGGCAGCAGATATGCTGATTGGAAGAAGGGCACAAATACAATTCTGCAGTTCAGCACGGAGATAACTGAGAATGTCCAGAGGCGTTTTAAAACGCATTAGGACCGTTTTTCTCAACAGTAAGCAGGGGGCTAAACGCTTCTGGAGAGCTGCAATGTTTTCTACATTAATGTAGGGGCCCAAATAGCTACCTATGTTATGTTTGGGGTTCCTTATTATCATTATAGTGTAGTGGGCCCCAAACCCTATTCTAATTATCAAGGCCCCTAGATTAAGCTGTCCAGGGGTCTAGGAATTGGGGCACCGCTCAAATAAATCTCGGCATTGAAAGACGAAAAGCAAGGCTCTGGCGACTGAATTCCTGCTTCTACCACTCGTATGGTGTTTTGTGAAAATGGGTAGTTTTCTAAATTAAGGTCCCTTTCAGGGTCCTTTTTATAAGGGTGCCGTACTATAGTGGGGACACAAAAAGGGACCCTAATTTAGAGAACTACCCAAATACAGTACAATGACGATGAGGAATTCTGATAAGGAGCCCTACAGAATAACATCGGCAATGATTTAGGCGCCTGGCTTGGCTCTGGAAAGTGCAACTGCTGCCACCAAAGCCTACAACTTTACTATACTGAACTTAGACCCCTACCAAAAATTATAATTTTAGCTGCTTCTTAGGGTTTAATAGTAGCCAAAGATTAAAAATTATTTCTAAGTACCCCTGAGTTTAGATATGATGGACCCCCAACTGATCCTCCGCTGCGGCAACGCAGCCGCCATCATCGTCCCTCTGCTGCGCGCCATGGACGGAGGCTCTTTGCAAAAAGCGGATCCCACAAGCTGCTGGCCAACTGCGACAAACGGCCACGTCATTGAGTTTAGGGCTCGCGTTTCGGGTTCAGGATGGTTTAGGGTAACTTGTGGCTTGAAGCTTAGGGCACCGGCCAAACAAGCAAGTCCTGATGCTAGCACAGTGGGTATAGGAACTGCTAAGGGTTCTTGTTGCAGCGGGTTGGTGGCACGACTCGCCGCCAATACCAAAACGACCACTCCACCACCACCACCACCCCCACCCCCCCCCCCAACACCACTGCCATGACAACTTTCACTGCTAGCACCAGCATCGCAGGACTTGGAGGAAGTGGCTGTTGGGTTACAGGTCCGCTTTAAGAAGTTTAATAATAGCTGGCTCATGCACAGGAAAACGCAGCTCGAAACATGAAACAATCGGACTTTCACTGATCGTTGGCGCTTGTCCCGCGATCAGCACGGCACGGCCTTGGGTCCCGGCTTGCTGGTGCTGACGACATTGACAGACGATGATGATTCTCACGATCATGACGAACTTGATGATGCTGGTGTTGATGATGCTGATGCAGCTGATGCTGCTGATGCTGATGATGCTGATAATGTTGGTGATGCTGATGATGCTGCTAATGCTGGCGATGCTGATGATGCTGATGATGACGACGATGACGTTGACGATGACGATGACGATGACGATGGCGATGGCGATGGGGATGGGGATGGTGATGGTGATGGTGGTGGTGGTGATGAGGCTGATGCTGATGCTGATGCTGATGGTGATGATGACGACGATGACGATGACGATGACGGTGATGATGATGTTGAAGATGGTGGTCATGGCGGTGATGATGGTGATGGTGATGCTAATGCTGATGGTGATGGTGATGGCGATGGCGATGGCGATGGCGATGGCGATGGCGATGGCGATGGCGATGGCGATGGCGATGGCGATGGCGATGGCGATGGCGATGGTGGTGATGATGATGCTGATGATGATGATGATGGTGATGATGATGATGATGATGGTGATGGTGGTGATGGTGGTGATGATGATGATGGTCGTCATGGTGATGGTCATGGTGATTGGATGGTGATGGAGATTGTGATGGTGATGGTGGCGATGGCGATGGTGATGGCATGGCAGTGGTGATGAGGACGATGAAGATGATGACGGTGATGAGTAGGCGAAGGACGATGAGGATGACGATGGTTAGTCAGGGGAGGACGAGGAGCATTTGTAAGCGCTGAACCATTCAAGTGATCTGGGTGCCGCCACAAGGGGCAAATATGCTTAATCACTTGGGGCGACGGCGCAGCATGTCTTGCTGGAGGTCATGCCCGGCTGTGCGCACAGTGTCCAGGAGATGTTGCCGTCTAAGAAATACTCATCACCATCTCACACCGAAAGTACAACGAGGGTGCTCTTGTTGTAGGCAGTCTCACAAGCTTTCTAGCTGCTTAAACGCATTACATCCTTACCATAGATTAGGTTCTGTAACCTGCAAATTCCTCAGCGCACTGGTGGTGGCGGTGGCGCTGAGCCCCGGGCTCCAGGCTTTGGGCTCAACGTCAAAAATCACTTGTTGTACCAGCCAAGGCCGTTGGCGGGCTTGTACGGGCTCAGCTTGTTGTCGTAGTAGTCGCCGTTCCAGCGGATGGGCTCATCGGACTTAATTCGCCATGAGCTGCAAGCTACATGCTTCTGAAACTGGTTCTCGCGAAAGCCTGGCTACAAAAAACGGCCGACAGCTCTTTTGACAACATCTGACAACTGCCCTACCCCGACCACAACCTCCCCCCAAGGCACGATGCCGTAGACCTTCTCGACTCGCTCGATGAGCTTCTTGTTGTACTCATCCCAGATGGGCTTGAAGGCCTGGGAGCCCGCAACCACATGCCACAGCTTCAAAGCCTGTCGCTCCTGCTCCTGCGACTTTGCTTCAGAGAAGGTGTGGAGTGCATCCAAGTGACCGCAGCCTCTGGGCGAATGGGGTAGGTGCCATCGGTGGTGTTCACGATGCCCGAAGGCTCGATGAACTGATCGATCTTGTACTTGCGGTAGATACCGCCACCGGTGGAGGAAGCATTGTACTTAGGGTCCTTGCCGTCGCTCTCCCTGTTGTACTTCCTGCAGGATCGTGTTCCATGTCGTAAGTACCGTAAGACCAAACATTGCAGCAGCGCCTGGAGTCTGAAAAGATCTTGTAAACTCACAACGGATGTCTACGACGAGCCTTCTACAACCGCGACCTACACCCAGTCTCCCGTCGCAAACATGGTGCGTCAAGCCGTCCTGTAGTAGGCCTTGGCCCAGCGGAACTGCTCCTCCTTGGTCTTGCAGTCGATGCGGATGTCGCAGCCCTGCCCAGTCCGTGACATGCAATCAACTGGCGAAACACCTCTACGTGTCAAGTACAGGAAGCACCAAACTCTTGGGAAGTACAGGCATCGCTGGCTTGGGAGGGAATTGTTCCAGAACTGCTCCGTCCTTGGCGAGAACCTCCTCATCCGTGAGCTCCTGAGCGGAAGCAGAGATGAAGCCACCGAAAGCGAGTACGGCAGTCAAGCCCCAAGAAGTCCTTGGGCTTTGCTGCCTCCTCGGCCAGGGCTGGGGAGGCCGCGGCCACGCTCAGGAGCAAGCCCAGTGCGACGCCGCCCTTGCAAAAGGAACCGAAGAGACAGGGGGGGGCCTAGGGAGTTTAGGAAGATCCTTTTGATGTCGAACCCTCAACAGTTACGCATATTCCCCTCATCCGTGAGCCCCTCTTTCTGCAACAAGTGCAGTCATACTCGCCTTTTTAAAGGAGGGAGATTTGGTAACCAAGAATTCTACAACTCAGGGGTGTAGAGGGGTCTTGAAGGTGGCGCTCCGGCCTGAAATAGCTACCCTTCCGTGGTTCCCACAGTTTCCTCGCCACAGCTCACAGGCTCACAGAAGCTTCTTGCAGTTGTGGTGATGGTATTGCTACTTCCATAATGTGATGCAGCTTACGGCATACGGTAGCAATTTAATCTTACATCATATTGTGTCACATTATATGATATTCATATAATGCGATATTCATCTGGTGTGTAGTAGATAGTGGTAGTACTAGCGCAGTAGCAGCAGCAGCAGCAGCAGCAGCAGCAGCAGCAGCAGCAGCAGCAATCTTAGCTCTGATGCCAGAAGTTAAAGCAACAATTTCGCTGCAAACGCCAAGGCGTAGCAGTCAAAGCCCTAGGCCCTAAACCCTAAACCCAAAGCCCTAAACAGAAAGAGCCTCGGCAAAGGACCGAAAGGGAAAGCAACGCGACGGAAGAGACCGTCTGCTTAGGGTTTCTCTCATGTGGGGGGGCCCGGCACAGAATATGGGGGTTTCCGAAAATAGGCGACCCTAATATAGCACCCTAGATACCACATCAGTGTGCAGATGAAACTCCGAAATCGGATCAAACTACAAGCTGCGTAACGAGGGGCAAAGAGCCCCTGCAGGTTTTGGAAGGAGCTGCCGGTGTCCGCTGCGTCAAAGTGGCCCTGATCCCGGCTGGGTGTGTTGCTGTGTGTTGCTCTTGAAGATGTTTAGGGTTTAGGATCTGTTTTTGTCATTGAGGGGGGGTTAGGGTTTACGGCTTCCGAATTCAATGTTCCCGGAGTTTCCGCGCATGAATGTCGGCCCATCCAACAAGCCCGTTTGTCAAGTACTTCCTGGGTAGTTCTCTAAATTAGGGTCCCTCTTTAGGTCCCCAATATAGTACGGCACCCTTATAAACGGACCCGCAACAGGAACTCTAATTTAGAGAACTACCCTCCTGGTTTTTTTTTTGGGGGGGGCTGGGGGGGTCTTTTGGGGGTCGAGGGCTTAGGGGCTTAGGGGCTTACATGGGATGGTTTTGGGCCCCAAAAACTCCTGAATCCAGCCTGCTCCCGGCTTACATGGCTGCTCGGAGAGGAGCTGGTGGACGGCATCATCCCAGGCACGAAGGCCAAGCCGCCTTAGGGGTTCAAAAACTGAGCAGAGCCTGGCGACACCCTGAGGATGCGCGCAAGGCGACTGAGTTTAGGGTTTAGGGTTTTGGGTTTAGGGTTTAGGGTTTAGGGTTTAGGGTTTAGAGTTTAGGGTTTATAGTTACAAGATGATAGGGAATGTTTCAAGACGCCAGGTCTGACGGGTTGTCCTCATCCGGGTGCTGAAAGCTCAACATGGTCAACCTCAAAACCCCTCGAACCTCCTTAGGCAATCGTAGGGTTTCGCTTTTGCTGAATCGCAGACTTTTCAGTTGCTCTGCTTCTTGCTCTTCTGTCGATGCTGCTGCTGGTGCTGCTGCTACTACTAATACGACGACTACTACGACGATACCACTACTACCACTACTACGACGACGACAACAGTACCAACAACAGCAACACCACTGCTACTACTGAGCTACTGCTGCTTGTAGCCATGGGACTACTGCTGTCCCGACTCCCCCTCCTCTCAGTAACACTCCAAGCGCCACTACGATGACGACAACGACTCACACTACGACTGCAACGACTATGCCGTCCGCCGACGGCGAATTGACGACTACTCAGTGCCTTCTTCAAACGGGTAGTTTTCTAAATTAGGGTCCCTTTTAGGGCCCTTTTTATAAGGGTGCCGTACTAAGAGAACTACCCAAACGGAAACAGTGTCGGAGCAGCCCTTTCAAGCTGAGCTCCAGGGCCCGCCAGGGCGCAGCCACCCACGAGTGCCTTCATCCGAGATCCGAGGTGTGTCGGGTTCGGGGCTATGAGAGTTGCTTGGAGGTTCATGGGTAGTTATAAGTAGGGTTATAAGTAGGGTAACTATAATTATAACCCATATTAAGGGACTTATAACCCTACTTATAACTACCCATGAACCTCCAAGTGCGCTTTAAGGTCTTGGGGTTCAGGGGCCTCGAGCCGATGGTGCAGTTTAGGCTTGATTAGCGTTCTGGTTTGCGGAGATGTGCCCCTGGGGCTTCGTGCCCTTAGGCTGTTTGCAAATGGAGAACCAACGTTCTCAAAGCAGCCGGGGACTCCATCGATGCGCGGTTGATGCAAAAACAAATCTTCATGACTCCTTGGTATGCATCTTTTCTGGAAGACCACCTAAGTGCTTCGCTGAAATGCGGATCTACGACAAGCTGGCAAGCATGTTCAAGAAGAACCATGCTGGCCTCAACATCTAAACACCTCCTGAAACGGAGAAGGAGCCCCCCAAACCCCCCGAAACCCTCAATGTAGGTGCTTTCATGATATCAACAGGGCTTTGGACTCCGTTATAGTATAACTACTATAACCATAATCGGGAACCCCCAAAATAATAT